ACATTCCACCTCTCCTGGAAGCTCAATTTCTGCACCTGCACCCAATGAGATGGTTGCTCGGATGATGGCTGAGCACCTGCCGAGTATCAGAGTAGAAGCTGGCACAGAGATCTGTTCCCTAAAATTGATCAGGTCACAGAAGCAGGGAAGCAGGCAGTCCACCTCTGTCTCAGAAGGGAGAGCAGGTGGAGCCTGACATCTCCCGTGTCTGGCATCAGGTAAAGCAACATTTGTTTCCACTTGTAGCTTTGATATGTGATAATGTTTGCCCCATTGCTTGAGCAAACCTTCATCTAAATACCAGCTTGTTAGAAACTGCAACTTCAAATTTAAAAGCTCCCATTCATTCTGAGAATGCATATCTAAGTCCTTAGAACTGAATCAGGAAGTTATGGAAGGTAATATGTGGTGCTGTCTCTTCTAGCTGGTCTCACACACTTCCTTTTTGCCAACTATGTCAGTGGCTTCTCTGATGCTCTCTTTTAGATCAGTGAAGGTGCCTCAAACAGGTTCAATAAACATAAGTTGAATCATAAGCTGAATCTAAATACTCTACTGATTTCATTGTTACCTTCATTTCATTGTTTTATTTTCTAGTTCACAGCTCATCACCATGTTTCTATATATCCCTATAGTGAATAATACATCCTTGATTTTTTTCATAATAAAAGTATTTTTCCTCATCTGCCAAACAGCTTCTACTATAATTCATCTCTCTCTATTTTTTTTTCTTCCACTTCTCAGATCAATTTCTATCCTCTTGTGACCGCTTAGCTAGAATGTGAATGGACAAAGGAGAACAAGATGGGCCTGGGGTGAGTGAGAAGGAGGTGGGTGACTGGGAGGGGCGATGGGGAGAGTCATTCCCTCTATTTCCTGCACAGAGAACTTACTGCTGGGTTGCTGCCACAGCTGCCACTGTGGGAAGTCATCGAGCAGCCAGCCGTGTGCCTAGTCATGGTCTCAATAGGTCACTAATCCTTTCCAAGTGGACTTCAGAAATTTAGAAGCCAATCGCAAAAGGACACAAGCAATGAGAAATCGTACATGGGAATGTGCTCATGAGAATGTAAGCAGGCAAGAGGAAGGAGCTGAGAAGTGCACGACCGTGCCTTGACAATTCACTGTGCATCTCAGGATTTAGAATGTGCCAAACCACTGTCAAAGCCTTTCAAGCAGGTATTCAGTGTTGAATGCTGGGGCATTCTGTAAGATACATAAGGCAAACCAATCACACATTGAGGAAGGAACTTAATATAAATAAGGCCCACTGGCTTGCCTGAAGACCAGGAACCATTAAACATCAGGCTTTGAGTGAGAACATAGGAGTGGGCCCCTCTAGATCTTGTCTTGTTGGCTACCACAATGCAACTGCACTGTCCCACCTTCCCTCATAGAGAATCTACATGTGAGCCAGTGCTGTATCCGATGGGACATTTAAAACAGTGTTTCTGCCTGCTTGATTCTATTGCTGAGAAGCCCTGGCAGAATTACTATTCTGAGAACTGCTTCCGGTGGCTAGAGTTATCCTCCCATGGCCCCTGGTGGACACTCAACCCCCTGCTTTCATGCTATCCTGTAGACTTGGAGATTTTCATGCCATTTCATTTCCTCCTTGCTCTTAGCCCTCTGGGGTGAAGATAGCATGGGCAGAGAAAAGGATCTATCCATGGCAAATTCCCATAACAGCTCCCACAGTGACCTCAGGTAATTCCAAGTCAGGGACAAGGAGGACAGGGGACAGGGGATGGGGAGACGAGGGGGGCAGACACAACATAAAGCAACGGGATACTGACCTTGTAACAAACTTGAGCTTGTAGGCTCATTTAGTTCTAAATCAGGTGAGGGACATACAAGAGAGAAAAAATGAAAACAAACACATATATTATATACAGTAGCTATATATTGGTCATATATAGTTTGTATACTGCCCTTCACAAACACTCTGGAGGAATGAATAATGAAGACACAAACATCAAAGGTGGTAGGACCAGGTGGAGTAATGGAACACTGACATGCTGCAGGTTTCCTGGCTTGGATGGGATGGCTGGGAACGGAAAGACCTGGCTGCTGCACTTTGTCCAATGTGGCCGCATTCATGCTGTGCTGAGCTGAGCCAGGGGACTCACGTGATAACAAAGGACCCCAGCACCTTTCTGGGGAGGACATCCTCAGCCAAGCTGTGTCACTGTGCGAGAGCAAGGTCACAGGTGTTTGAGCTCTCAGAACCATGGCAGGAGTCAGACTTCTCCAAGCACTGTGATCAGTAACATGCGAGCAGAGCCCTGTGACTCCTTCAGGGCTCTGCAGCCCTAGAAATGGTCCACCCCATGAAGGCTTACAGACCCATGACAGGAACCCCCTGCATCGGGATCCTCACTTTCCAATGTCTAAGTCATGTGGAAAGTGCACAGTTTATGCATAAGCTGATGACTAAGGAACAGTGAATTAGCTGACTAGTGATGATAAATGTACTTCATGAATGTTGTAGATTCACCCACTGGACATGCTTCTTTCCAGGTGGCCCCAGCCAGCTTGAGGACTTTTAAAGAAAAACGCCTGGGGAACTTCCTAGGAAACCCCTCCTTGTGCAAAGGCCTCCTGGTGCTGTGCCTCCATAAAGAGCTTAGGAGCTATAGCAGTTTCTCGACCAGGCATGGCCAGAGATGAGGGCTTAGAAACAGGCATTGAAGGCATTGGTGGTTTTCAACTGTCCCCCACAGAACTATGCTATCCTTGTGGTCTCTCAAGTGAGGCTCACAAATTGAATTGGTTTCTGATTTGACTAAATTTGAAAGTACTGCAAACTTGATCTAACTCTTGAAAGTTGAACACCTTAAGGCAATGAGACATCCTGCATTAAAGAACAGCTCCCTCCCCATGATGCCCCTTTAGTCACCGGTCTCAATCTTTTTAAACGTATTTGGACATTTGTTACTGCTCACAGACATCTTTCCGATATTATCCCGTACTCCAACGTGCTCTCACTGTCAGCAACATCTCTAAGGATGTACAGCATGAATGCTGGTGATCAGGGGGGGGAAATGACACGGGAAGGACAAGTTTCGATGGCCACACAGAATTCTTTAGAGAAGATCACATTTCTGGAGGATGGTGCAGTGGAGTAGATGGTTAAGCTACTGCCTGCAGTGCTGGCATCCTCTATGGGCACTGGGTGAAGTCCCAGATGTTCCATATCTGATTTAGTTCCTTGCTAATGGACTGGGAAAGCAGCAAAAGCAGGCCCACATGCTGTGCTACTGTCTCAAACGGGGGAACCCTGTTGGATTTCCAGGCTGCTGGTGGCCCCAGACATTTGGAAATAAATAAGCAGATGGCTGGTATTTCTCCATCTCCGCCTCTCTGTCTCTCTCTCTCTCTGTCCATAGCTCTCTTTCAAATAAACATATATGCATCACTGCTTTTAAAATGAGCAATTTCACTACTTAAAACAAGTTGATCCTGTTTTCCCTACTCTCAACCTGAGATGGCGTAAAAGGATGAGGCTGCATTAAGATCGTTGTGCAAACCCATGTCATGCACAGGCACTGGAAGGAGGAGGAGGGCTGTTTACAGGAATGAGGACTGGACAGTGAGAGAAAGCATTAGCTTCGCACTGCAAGGGAGGGGGCTGCTCCTTCCTAACCCTCACGCTGCGTTCCTGCAGACAGACACCTGCCAAAAAGTAAAGATGGTCTGACAAATGTGAAGGGCACTTATGGCCATGCCAATGTGAGAACTGCCAGACAGATCCATCAGTCTTATCACAGTGCTACCCTTTCCCAGACTCCTAGATAAAGCTGGGAAGAAGGCAGGAAGGGTGTGATGTGGAAGTAGAGATGGCTCAATGGGACAGCCATGGGGGAGTGATTTGGAGCAGGCTATATATGCTGCCACCAAAGGTATGTGGTGAGGACAAGAGAGGTCCTTGAGGCTACAAAATTGCCTGAGAGTTCTCAGAAAAAAAAACTAAATAAAAGGAATGTATGTACTTGCCAATTATCCACCAAATAACTCCTTGTTCCTTCTCCACCTCCTTCAAGAGTGCACCTTAATACCAGGTGAGGGAGAACTGATTTGAAAAAATGCTAAGCTACCTGAGTGTGTTGGGGATGAAGGCATATGCCCCCAAAGTAACCGGAAATCAACCCAGTGAGGTTGTGCATGAGTCCAGGACTGCAAGCCACATTACAATGCACAAAATACTGCATGGTGACACAGACGGCAATGCAGTGTCACTGGTGTATAGCAGCGCCACTCAGGCTCTATGAGGCTTCCTGCTGCCAAACACGTAGGAAAGTCAGAGAAACTAGCCAATCAATTGTGCTTGGACAGTATTGATGCCTGAGTGACTATGTGATGCTCTGCTCAGGTAGTGGCTTGGATGATCAGACGTCCTAAATGAGCCAGGGAACCTGCGAACTTCTATTTCTCTGTTACTTCTGCCTTGAAGCCAATGCCACGAGGCCTCCAGGACCCACAATTCAACTCGGATGCATATGCTTTAGGTTCGTTTAAGTTCCACTGGGTGAGTACAGTTTCAGGAAAGGGAACAGTTTATGTGACCCAATTAGTAAGGTACTGACTGCAGTAGCAAATATCCCATGTCTAAATTCCTGACTGTGTTACACAGCTATAAAACTCAAGTATTTCTAGGAGAAATCACTGAGACAAACGACAAAAACATGTTTTTTGGCTTTTCACAATTCTTTTCTCCGGTGAAAGAATCGTTCCCAAGAAAGAACAAAAAAAAAGGACTTCATCCTTCTTTCTTCTCCCACTCTTTGCATCTTCATCAATATACATACTGACTCTCTTTCTCCCCCATCACTTTCGCTCTCTTTTTCTTCACTGCCTCCCTTCTTAATTATTCCCTGATCACTGCCTTACTCACCTCACTCACTCAGACCCTCACACCACGCTGCACACACAGGTAGCTCCTTTCCTTGCCAGGACACTCCCCCTTGCCTTCCCATCCCTAGCTTAAGGCCCACTCTCACCAAATAGCGTGATGCTGGCATTGGTGTGGCCCAACTTGTTGGAGGCCACGCACGTGTAGTTCCCATAGTCATGTTCGGAGACATTAAAGAAGATGAGCTTAGAGAGGAAGGGTCTATTTTCGACTTTGACCCCCTTCTTTCCTTCAATCAGCCTGAGACAAAGAAGAGACAAAAAGGAAAAAGAGGAGATGGTTATTCTTCTGTCACAGGAAGCAGGCAAACTCTGGGAAGAACATCACCACCCCATCCTGACATCTTAACCATGCTTAGTCCCAGCAAATGGCACCAGAAATTCATGTTTACAAGTAACATATACACTTGTATTTCTCCATCTCCGCGTGTACTCAGAGAAGATCCTCTCAGTATAGCTTATCTTCCTATGTCCACACACAAGGTCTCTGCAGGAAGATATAGCCACTCTTTCTTGCTTTGTGTCAATCACTTATCTATTGCTTGTTGTCAGTCATACCACATTATACACATTCACCAGTTGTTTGGCAGCTGGAGCAATGTTATACACATAGTAGGTGTTAAAGAGTGTATACCTGTTTGATGCTGAAGGGGGTCACGATGAAAATGGTGATGGTGATGATGATGAAAAAAGAAAAAAAAAAAAAAGAAGACCTGTCATGTGATAACCTAAATGGCTAAATCCTCACCCTGCATCTGTTGATATCCCACGAGGGTGCCAACTCACGTCCTGGTGGCCCCGCTTCCCATCCAGCTCCCTGATTGTGTCCTGGGAAAGCAGTTAAGAATGGCCCAAAGTCTTGGGACCCTGCGCCTGCATGGGAGACCCGGAAGAAGCTCCTGGCTTCTGGCTTTGGATTGGCTCAGCTCTGGCCATTGCAGCCACTTGGGGAGTGAACTAGTGTTGGGGAGTGAACTAGTGGACAGAAGGTGTTTCTCTTTGTCTCTCATTCTTTCCAATAAAGAATCTGCCTTTCCAATAAGAAAAAATCTTAAAAAAGAAGAAGAAAGAAGAAGTCCAGCACTATGAATGGGATGAGGCATCTGGCTGCTGTGACCAGAGGCCAGTTTTGTATTTTTGGCATGTTATATAGATAGTGATCCTGCATGGGGTGCTGTCCAATAAAGGCTCTATGTGCTATCCACAGTGGGGGCTTCTGTGAATGAGCTAGAGCTTCCATGCTTTGAACCATTTCTAGGACAGAGAAGAAACCTCAACTGAAGCAAACTTCGAATGAGATTTCAGCTCAGCTGTGGGAACTTACTCAAACTATGGTCCCTCCTCAGCTAAAGATGCCACAGGCTGGCCACCTGCACTCCTCACCTGGAGGGGTGATGCACTTCCCCTTTCCCTGAGCAGTCATGTCACCCCGATCCTTCAGACACCTGTAGCCCTCGTTCAGGCTTCTGTTTCTCAATGGAGCTATACAACCATTGTGGCTAATGTTCCTGTTGGTTGATTGCCCTCATTAAGCACAGCATTCTATTTCCTCTCCTTGGTGGAGAACACGCACAGTGGCACAGCTGAGAGGTCCTGCTCTGTGGTCAAATGGCCTCTGTCCCACATTCTGAGAAAGCTGATTATCTCTGTGACACAGATGCATCTCACTGCCAACAGGAGGTGGGATAGGGCCGGCTGTTCCTGACAGCCGGAGTGTGCTCACTGACCCCTTGCTTGTGAGATGTTGCCTGGCAGTCTTGATGGTACAGACACGACTGGCTGTGGCAATGGATGTGCTTCCCTAGCCTGGTGAGATGGGGAAAGACAACCACACTAGGTGAAGCAGCACTGGAAATAAATAAGCATGCGGATCGATCAATTCAGTGGGAAGGAAACGGAGAGAGAAGTCACCCGGAGAACTACACCCCGTCATACATATCACCACATGTATGACGGGGAGCATGGAGCAGTGAAGCTGCATGACAACTGTTTGTGGCCTTGCTGCTTACTCTCCGAATGGCTTCTCCATTAGGAGCCACTCCTCGCAGCACCACAACTGCTATAGGAAAGGAAGAGCTCTTCATCCCCATCGTTTACCACCTCTGATCAATGTGTTTCCATCTATGTTAAGGTCTCACTCTCTTTAATTCATGCAGTTTTCCTGATATATACATATTCCATGAACTTTCTTGAAAAAAAGTTGGGAGAATTAAAAAAAAAATCTTTTGCAAGAGAATACAATATCTTTTAATTTCAACTCCAGAAACTTTTTGAAGTATCCTCATATTGTGCCTCTCCCATACAATACTAGCATAATAGGATACAGCTGATTAATTTTCACTATGACTCAGACAATGGAAGGTTCAGGAACTGACCCTGCAGCTCAATCGTTTTCCTGTTTCGGTTTGTTTTCTGTTTTTCTAATCCTGGACTTTGATAGCTCAGTTTTCTTCTTAACACAATAAGGAGGGGCCATCTGTGTGGGGAGGTGGAAGGAGGCAGCATATCAGGATTTCTAAGGAAGGAAACAATGTTATGAAAAATAACATTCTCCCTTCTGTTTGATTCTGAAATCTGACATGAAGAAAGAAAGTCAATTTCTGGAATATTTATGCTTTATTTTCCTTAAAGGTTTTATTTATTTATTTATTTATTTATTTATTTGAAAGGCAGAGTGACAACACAGAGAGGAACAGACATAGAAATCTTCCATCTGAGGGTTCACTCCCCAAATAATGGACCAACACTCAGGCTGAATCAGGTGGAAGCCAGCAGCCAGAAGCTCCATCTGGGTTTCCTATACAGGCTGCAAGGGCCCAAGGATTTGGGGTACCACCTGCTACTCTCTCAGTTCAGGAAGTTGGATCAGAAGTAAAGTAGCTGGGCCTGTGGAAAATTGGTACTGCAAACTGAGGCTTGTAACCGCTATGCCCAAAACAGGTCCCATTTCACTCGCTTTGATATTATTTATCTGGTCAGTTTGCCTTTCACTCTTGTGTCTTCAGTGATTCCTTCTCTAAAATGGGTTAGATGTACACCACTCACCTCATTAGAGGCTACTAGAAGATGACCTTTAACATTATGAAACAGGAACAACACCAACACAATTCAGCTTTTTCTTCAGAAGGGCTATGAGGAGCCGCAGAGTCCGGGACTCAATGGCTTGGTGTGGTTGTACATTCAGAGACTAGAAGAGATTCTGGCAACTGAGGAAGGACAGCATCCCATGCAGCTGTACTCGACACATTCCAGGCCTGGCATGGTCCACTTCCTCTTCTCAGAAAAATCCCTGCTTTGGTTTTCCTTTTCTTCAGCTCTGTGTCCCCATTGCTTTCTCTCCTGCTGGGCCCCTTGCACCTCACGATTTTTTTTTTCATCCCCTGCACCACACTGGTCTTTTTATGAAAATGTTATGAGCACAGACAGCTTCTGCACACTGATTTGTTGCTCCTCCACCTTAGGGTAGCTCTTGGATCGCAGTAATTGCCATGTGGCTGGCTGTGCAGAGCTGCTGACCCCTGCACTGACAGGGCATGAGAGAATGTTTGGAAAGGGTGATTCACAACAAACACCCGGATGAGGCCTGCAACAATAGGAAGGAAGGAAAGAGCCTTCTCTCTTCATTCATGCTGTGGAAGGAAAACTTGGGCACAAAGGAAAGACTAAATCGGGTCATGGATTCCCAAAGCACCACCACTGAGTTGCTTGGAACGGAAGTAGCTATCAGCTAGTTGTTCTAGTAAGCCCCTCCCACCGCCCCAGTAGCACACCTAACATCTTAATACAGGCCTCTGCATGTATTAAAAATAGCTCAGGAGTCTACGGCCATATCCCCCAGAATGCATCCTATCTCGTTTGATCTCAGAAGCTAAGCAGGATTGGGCCTGGTTAGTACTTGGATGAGAAAAATAGCTCATGGCATTAGATATTATTTTATCCTCTTATAAAAACTTGTGAGCTGAGAGGCAGGCAGAGTGGCACATCTGGCTTGACAATGGCATCCCATATAGGTGCTGGTTAATATCCTGTCTGCTCCATTTCCAATCCAGTTCTCTGCTTATTGCCTGGAAAAGCAGTGGAGGATGGCTCCAGGCATTGGCATGCTGCATTCACTTGGCAGATCTGGAAGAAGCTTTTGCCTCATAACTTCAGATTAGCTCAGCTCTGACCACTGTGGCCCTTTGGAGAGTGAACCAGCAGATGCAAGGCCTTGTCTCTCTCTCTCTCTCTCTCTCTCTCTCTCTCTCTCTCTCTCTGTAAAATCTGCCCTTTGGTCCCAGACTAATGGCTTGATCGGTTAATGTTCTACCTTGCAACCGGCATCCCATATGGATGTGGATTCATTGTCCTAACTGTTCCACTTCTCATCAGCTCCTTGCCTGTTGTCTGAGAGCAGTGTGGAAGCTGATCCAAAGCCTTGGGATCCTGTATCTGCGTGGGGGATCTGAGAGTAGCTCCTAGCTCCTGGCTCTTTGCTCAGCTCTGGCCTTTGCATCCATTTAGGAATAAACCGGTGATATAAGATCTTTGTTTTTCCTCTCTCTGTATTTTCAATAATACAAAACCAAACAAACAAAATCTTATTAGAAAATGTGAACCCTTACAATTGGCTGGTGGAAGAGCACAGTGACATTGCAAACTGCTGAAATCCATCACTATTAAGGAAAAAATTATTTGCAAGTTGTTTTACCCTGTATGTAAAAAAGATTCAGAAAAACATTCTGCAGGATTCACCAGTGATCCCTCGGAATTGGGAACGTGGAAAAGCTCCCGTCTTCTGGGTTGGTTGGGGCAGGGAGAGGAGGGAGGAGGATTTTACCTTTTGTCGTCCTTGTACCACTGGAATTCGGCAGAGGGGACAGCGGAAGCTTCACACTGCAGTGTCCCTTTTTGTCCCACAGGGACGCCTGTGCCCTTAGCTTCTGATATGTATGGTGGGTCTGTGGAAAGAAGAGGTCCTATAGCATTTACAATACATCTTAAAACAAGGAAAGATGCTTTTTTCATGAATTTTGTGTTTCACCCCCTGTTCTGCCTCTGCTTCGTTACCCTTTCAAACTGCTGTGTACAACACACCCGGAAATGGCAGCATTTCTAATGCTAGTCTAAGAAAAAGCTTCTGTTCTCCATTGTACTGAGATGGAATGACCAGACAGTTGGACCTACTTCCTGTGAAGACATTTTAGCTTTCACAGGATGATGGCAATCCCATCTTACACCCCACACATTGACCTTCAATCAACTTCATAAAATATCTTCACTCTAGGTTCTTGTCAAATTATGGAACCTCAAATATTCAATTCTCCTGAAAAGCTCAGTTGCAAGAAGTGATATTCATGGAGAATTGCCTTGAGGCAATTCAGATCAGCATTCTTTTCTGTATTCACCAAGAATCCCTGCATCAGGTCTACCAAGCAGGGCCTGCACACCTGCTCTGCAATTCTTTGAAAACTTCACAAAACTAAAATGGGTTTCCCCAACAGTCTGCATTGAAGAGCATTGTGGAAAAAGAATCACAATAATCTTCCTCTTTTTTTACTGCAGCAATGCTACACATGGAATTGTTGATGTTAAGTCTCAAGGTGCACTTTTGGTGGAGACCCAGAAGAGAATTTTCACCAGGGTTTTAGTGCCAGGAAAAGCAGTAATATAACTTGCTTTAGTATTAGGGATAGCGTAAATCTTCTAACAGGTACAGTTTCCTCTCTTTACTTTAGCAATGGTAACTTTGTGGTAGATATTTCAAAGGCTGAATTTTCCTTGGTGTTGATGCATTTTCCCCAATTTATTTTCCTTTGCCTCTATTTCTTTGCTTTTTAAAATTGTAAATTACAAACTTCATATGTCCCTTTCGAAAAAGTAATGGGGAGAAAAATATAGCCTTGCTATATCTAGTTCCCTCTAAAAAGTGCTTCATATTGATATATGTTCAAACTGTAACTTAAACTAAAATCTTAAAAAAAAAAAAAAGAATGTGTATTCAAGGCTGGCATTGTGACACAGTAAATGAAGCTGTCATCTGCAATGTCGATGTCCCACACGGGCATCAGTTTGTGCTCCACTTTTGATAAAGCTCCTGACAAATGCACCTGAACCCACATGGGAGACTAGGGTGAAGCTCTGGCTTTGGCTATGCCCATCCCTGGCCATTGTGGCCACTTGGGGGAATAAATGTGTAGACAAATCATCTCCTCTCTCTCTCCCCCTGTCTTTCTCAGTCTATTTGTAACCGTAACTTTGAAATCAATCTATATTTAAAGAGGGAAAAGAATGTACATTCAGCTGCGTGCAACATTCATTCCTTAGCTCCATCCTACCCAGGGACTGAAACCAGCAGGTTTCCTGTCTGCTGTGTTGGTGATCAAGTCCCTTTGTGGTCTAGGATTTTCCAGAGTGCATAACATAGAAAACCTTCAGCGTGTTCCAGAGAACTGAATCAGCAGAGAAAATGCAGAACTGAGGGAGAGAAGGTTAATGAGAGGGCAAAAGCTCATGCAAGGATCAAAGTTAAAGAGGACTTGCACGGTTGATAAAGCATCCATCGCTAACCATTTTTTGCTTCTGTTTCTCTGTCAGGAAGACCCACTGTTGAGACATAGTCACAATTGTTTGCGTGTATATCTACTGTCAATTAACTGACGTAGGGAGACTATGTACATCACCATTTGCAGAAGTTCAACAATGATATATCCAATAAACATACTGTAAGTGCAAGTTCAGTATCTATTTCACACAGTGTAGCACATGCGTTTTTTTTTCTGCTATATAGAAATGGGGGGGACTTGCATGGAAACTACATTGTTTGAGCAAATGATGGGAGACAGTCTAGATTTGAAGAGGATGCGTTTGCATAAATTATCCACTGAAGGATCTCTGGTGACCTTCAAGCTATGTATTTAAAATGTCCTGTTATATTAAATAGTCCCAGATACTCACTTATTTTTGTGTTTTATTTATTCATTTATTTATTTAATCTGAAAGGGAAAAAGACAGAGACCTTCCATGTGCTGGCTCACTCTCCAAGTGGCTGCTACAGTCAGAGTCACCCATGTGAGTGTCAGAAATCCAGTTACACAAGACCCTCATTCTTTGTTTTCCTAGGTGGATTGTCAGAAAGCTGGATCAGAATCAGAGCCACTGGGACTCAACCCGGCACTCCAATAGGAGATACTGGCATCGCAGCACTGACCCCGATACCTTTTCTAGGTGTGATACCCTGTTGCTTTGAGGTGTCAAGTTGTAGGGTTTGGAAAATGATTGTTGCACTAGGTCCCATCCTGAGTCAGCAGTTGACTCTGTTAGCACTTCTTAGCTGTGGCCATGACACAGGCCAGGCACTGCATGTGTGAAGGGCAGTGGGCGGGGATTAGGGTGTTGAAATGACTTACAGTTCACGGTCACCTTCACTCTCCGTACCACTGGTGCGGCCACATCGTTGGACGCACTGCACTCGTAGTCCCCCGACTGCTCCCGGGTGATGCCCTGAATTTCCAAGTATTCATCTTCACTCACAAAGCCCACAGCTGTAAAAGAAATAGGGTGCAGTGAAAACAGAACGAAAAGGACCACGAGTATAAACTTGAACTCCTTACACAGTGGTTAGAAATGTGGCACCAGAACATTCAAACTCTCAGGCATGACCTTGGGTCTCCTTCCCCATCACTTCTAGCGCTCCTGTCACCAACTTTTGCTGGGCTCCCCAGTGGACAGCTGAAATGTTTGTATTTCTAACTGCACGAAGCATAGAGCCTAGAGAATATTGGTCTTCTCTAAGTGATTAATAATTTTGACATTTACACAGCCTGATCTTACAAAGCAGTCCAGCTCTGGGATCTCAGTACCTTAACTCTTTCCGGTCTGTAAGTATCATCAACTGAGGGCATCTTGACTTCAGGGCAGATGACAGTATCCCTGGACATGAACTGGCTAAGAATATTACACGCACTCACACACACATGCCACAGAGGCAATGCCAATATTAGGGTAAAAACAAACAAAAAGTCAAATTTCTGTTTCTAGACTCAGACCATCAATTGGGTCTGCAGAAATCAAAATTTTAAACTGTGATCTGCCAGATGGCAAAGACAAGCTAGTGAAGGGACCCTGGGTTTGAAACCCAAAAAGAAGCATGGCAGGAAGTGAAAAAGAATACAGGGCTACAATTTTTCCTCTACCACCTAATCACCTAATCATTCAAGCCTATATTCAACAGTGAAAAACATGGAAATATGAGCTATCCTCTACCTGTCAGACACCTAACCTAATGGCTGGCTATGAGCTTTGTGTTGAGTAAAGACCAAGACACCATAGACTAGACAATAGTGCTCAAAATGCACTTCACAGGGAAAGACAAAAGCAGCTGTTCACATCTGAGATCATCTAGCCACATGGTGACGGCTAGAACTAGGGTTAGTCATGACGGGATTATATAGCCTAACTATATCTCAAACCAGAGTCTATTTTTTTTAATTATTTGAACGACAGTGAGAGAGACAGAGAAAGAGAGAGAGAGAGAGAGAGAGAGAGAGAGAGAGAGAGAGAATGGGACCAGGCAGTGCTCCACTGGTTTACCAGAACTTTAATAAGAAGCTGGCTCAGAAGTGTAGCAGGTAGGGTATGAACCAGCACACAAGTGGGACGCTGGTGCTCCTCGAAGTTTGACTTGCGACATTATGACATCAGCAACAAACCAGCATGACAATTTTATCAATCCATACATAGCTGTCTTCACACACACACACACACACACACACACACACACACACACACGACAGAAATAAAGAGAGGGACAGGTACAGGCAGGAGAGAGAGGTGAGGGACGTATGGAGAAACAGATGGATGTAGCTCGCATTCTGGGCTCACACCCCAAATGGCCATAACAGCTGGGGCTAACCCAAACCAAATTCAGGAGTTATAACTCCATCTGGTTCTCTCTGGGTCTCCCACAGGTATGGCAGGCAACAACTTGGTTCTGCTGCTTTCCCAGGAACCTTCTCAGGGAGCTGGGTCAGATGTAGAGCTGCTGAGTGTCAATCCTGGGCTCAAAGGGGTGCTGGTTTTACAAAGCACAGTTTAGTCCAATGTACCATAATACGGCGTGAACTAGGACAATTTCATTTTATGTTAAATTTAAAACATTTTTTCTTTTCTAGGACAGTTGTAAAAGTAGGTGAGGGCACTAATTGTAATTGTTACGGGGCAGCAAGCAGAAGTTGAAATCCTCCTTAGCAACCGAAAAGCATTTCCCAGGCATCGCAAATGCACAGTCCTGACAGCTCACAGGGTTATTCAGAACAACAAATGAGTCTGTATATTGTATATCTGGAAGTGTTTTGAGAGCTCTTGTGTACCGTATATGTGTTGGCTTGTGCTTTCCGTTATAACCTAATGGAAGCAGAGCTTTAGAGGATGTGAAGTAGCAACATAAATGAAAGGCCCCGGAAATGAAGCAAAGGGCCACCATCCAGAGCATGGCTGTTTCTCCTAACCCATAACGAGAAAATGGTAACTGTCAGAAACCAGTATAAAGCCCAGAAAGTCATACATGGCATGCAAGTGCCTACTGGCTGCATTTGCTCCACGGCAGTATGGAGGTGACTGCTTTTGGCATGACAACGGGAGCAACAGTCACAGAGTCCCAAGAACAAAAGCACACAGCTCTTCCCAGCGGCCTTCCTTGGTTACAATAGCTATGCACCTGCATGCCCAAGTGCCACACTTCTTCATGCCTCATGGGGCCTACACAACATACACAGAAACACTTCCCTGCAGCCTCTGTCTGCTAACAAAGAGAAAAGAAAGGGGCTGGCCTATTGTGAAAATCAAGAATGAGACACCGAATTCCAAAGTAGTTACATGTTGATAAGCCAAAACCCAGGCCAACAGGTTCAAGACAGCAAGACAACCAGAACTGGCCCATACAGACTTACAGGCACCACATGGCAGAACCTTGCAATTGTCTTACCTGCCTTGATTACTCTTCTTATCCATCTACATAGCTTTAGAGGAATGGATACTAACCTGATTTGAGAAAGAGTAGAGAAAATAAAGAGTGTGTGATGCCTCTCCCATTGTCATTGTTTGTTTTCTACTGACCACAGGCCCAAATTTGTCAGATCACTGCCTGCTAGGATGTTATAATTACTGTGTGAAGCAACTCAGAGACCAGTGTCACACTTAATATTCCCATTAATTTTAAATGGTAGTCCTTGGTACACATGTGTGGCAATTGGTGTCATATTTTAATTAGGCTTGCCCTACACCATCTGAAATTAATAATAGCTCGAATTACCAGTGTAATTTATAAATTAACAGTGCAAGCATTAGGAAATAAATTAGTCCTAGGCAGCTGTTTCTGGAGTGAGCAATGGGGTGGCAACAGTGATGGGTGGAGCCTCAGATTTCCTAGAGGCTGAACATGATACTTTCAAAGCAAAGAAACAAAAAGACAGGGTTCTTGAGCTCTCTGGCTTTGTTCTGTAATTAAAGTCCATGCACCTGTTCTAATTCTTCCATGTGAATGGGCACTTGTGGGGCAAGCATGATCAATGGACATTTAAGTAGAAAAGAATGTTGGGAATATTAGTGTCATTGAAGTGAGGGAGACAGGAATCAAGAACTCATCACAGTTTCCGCCAGGACACAAACATATGAATGCGTATTTAACTTCCTGTATCCATGGCAGGTGATCTTCTGTGAAGAAGGAAATTGGATAGCTTGCAACTGGGAGAGGCCTATGGTGCACAGAGGGAGGGAACTTCGGAGGTACCTTCAGAATTGCATGGAAATTGGTATTTAAAAGATAAGCTTAGTTTAGGGCAGAAAAAATTTGAAACTCATGCATGTGAGGGATCTTTTTAAAGGTCATAGAAATGCCTGTGGTGAAAAAAAAACAAACTTTGCACAGATTTAAAAATTTTTATGCCAAAATAGGCTTATGATTGAATCCCATTTCCATGAACTTTTCAAATGCCCTCTTATAGTCATGTCATCCTGAGAAAAGCAACGAGGCTTAATTTTATCAACATATGCTACTCAGACCAAGTGTAGAATTACAAAGAAATTACAATGACTTCATTGCCCACCTGCTATAATTTATACAGTTTCTGATTAAATTGGGCTAAGCCTGTTAAGACTAATTTGTATATAGTAAAATGCTTTTTAAATCTTCGCTTTCATTAGTATTGTTTTCCTCTTTCTCGTGACTCATGTTTCACCATAAAAAATTATATGAGGCAAAAACCAGCCAAACAAGATATATACACAACTAATGAATCATGAGACGTGAGATTTCTATAGGTGTGGTTTAAACCAACCAAAATAAATGAGTAGGCTAAAATTTGAGTGTTTGGAGCTCAAGGATCATAAGGACCTCCTCTAACAACACTTATGTGCTGTGAACTGATCAGTGCTGTCGTACTAGTAAGAACCACTGAGTGTAATCTTTTAAGTGCTGAAGGATCCTCGGTTAAAAGACATCAGTGAGAAGAAGCAAACCACTTGATAAGACACAATGAAAGGAAACTCTTCATGGCCAACAGCTACTCATTTACAAGTCTGCTCTTGCTCCTTCTGAAAAAAAAAAAAAAATCCCTGATGTATAACACAGTTCTCTTCCTCCATTATCCTCTCCGTCATGTCACATCTCTTCAGACACGCAAGCCAGCACTTCAATTTTTGTGTCACCACATGCATACTCTGCTGCCTTGTTCTCAAATCCCTCCGTAGAGTAGCTCCTATTGACTTGTCCAAGTTCATCTGGCGTCAGTGGTATGGACAAGCAATGGATCATTGTAGTAACAGAGCAGGAGTTTGGGAACAGGCACAGCAAATTGTCTGCATTCTGTGTTCCCGACATGTCCCCAACGCCCCCTAACTTTTTTCAGAATAATAATTAACTACTTTGAGTGTTGCTGTGACTGCAGCAGGTGCTAAGTTCTCTGTGGGTCTGGCCATTGCACTAGCATTACCTCAAGTCTAAAACCACACCATGCTGGTTTGGTTTTGGACACCTACCATGGATCCTCCTTCACCGATGGGTTTTTATCACTTTATGTTCTTCTTACTGTTCTAAGGATATACCCTTTAGATTTCAAGTCCTAAGTCTGCCATGAAAAGTTCTTGTTGTGGGTTGAATTATATAGATAGATTTAGATAGATTTGGGTTCTATGTGCCACTGGTGCTTTGAAATGCAACTACATTTGGAAACAATTGATGTTCTGACAAAGAGGAACACAGATCCTCAGTAGTGTGAAGATACACCAGGAGAAGATGGCCGCTGCACTGCAGAGATGCATCTACCTACTAGGGACTGCCTGCTGACACCACGAGGGGGAAGAGGTGAGGCGGGAATCTGCCCTGCCCTTGCCAGTGATAGCACAGAACAAAGTAAAACTGGGACATCCAACTCTCCCTGGCTGACCCATAGCATATAGATTTTCTAAAGCAATCTTTTCTTTTTTCTTTTCACTTTTTGGTAACCATAATACATGCACACGTTTCTTTTTATCCCACAGGCCTCAG